ACGCGAGAAAATATTGTTAATCCTAAATTCTGGCTTGTTAACGTTCGCGGAATAAAACGAATACTGCGAGAATTTTCAGAAAATATATGAAATTCAACCTTTTTCTTTAAACAGAATGGTTACACAAATTCTAAACATTATGAAACAAACAAAAACTAACAAAATATGACTTTACAATAATTGAAGTTTATTTTATTTGCGATATGAACAATGTAACGAAGAAATGATAAGTGATAATAATTCCTTATTGCCAAGGCCAAAAAATGGAACCTGATATGGATGATCTTTATTTATAGACAACCTCAATAATATTTCATAAACGAAGGACNAATTAATTCGGTAAATTGTACAATACGAAATACCGGTAAAAATAACTATTTCAAAATGTAACTAACTATAATTTCAACAATAGTTTATTCGCCAAATACTGTATTACATGAGAAGAGAAAACAAATATTTATATAGTCTATTTTTTCCCAGCTCTGTACATATGTTATTTCTATGGTTATCTTTAAATCAAAATATCTCGGAAACGAATAAAAATTCTATTACTGTTTTTTAATATTACGCGAGTACGCAATATTAAAAAATCGTTGTGTGTATCCACGAAATATTAAAAAAAAACAGTAATAGAATTTTTCAAAATGGGCCTTCGTTTTCGAGATATTTTGATTTAAAGATTGTACATAACCATATAAATAACATATGATGTACAGGGCTAGGAAAAAATAGATTTTTGAAATAGTAAATATATTATAAACATTTTTGTCTTTTTTATCATGTAATACAGAACTCATCTAAGCTCTAACTTTAAACTCACTCTCGTTTCCAGAGCGATTTCCGCGATCGTAACTTCTCCTTGTTAGCGTCAACTCGGAGGCTTTAATCCATAAATAAATTATTACTATTATTGTTGTCATTATTCTTATTATTATTACTATAACCGATATGGAGGACGGCAAGATTTTTCGGCAACCTCGGGACGAGTTCGACGAACGGAAAGCGAGGAAAGTCGCTTCACGCGCCGAGAAAGTTTCTCGTGTTACCGGTGTGTCGTCTTCCAATAAAAGTGTCCCTTCTCACTTTCTCGACCTTGCCCCGTAAACTAATACGAATCCGCGGAAGTGGTCATAGCCCGCCATCAATTTACCGCGTTGCGTGGATGCCAGCGATAAACCGCGAACGAAACTTCCCCGAGTATCGTCTATGAGCGGAGCCTTATCTCCTATAGAATCTATCGTCTATCCGGCAAAACGAGTTTCCGGTGCGGTGGTTCTTGGCATCGCTGGGAACAGATCTTTCCCTGGGTCGTTGTTCCTTCGGTGTCTAATTAAACCAGCCTCTTTGTCTTCGGATGAAATTTTCTTTTCTTTTTTTTTTTTAGCAAACCGATTGTGAATTCTAAACGATTCGCGAGGAGCTGGAGGAAACCTTCTTTCAATATTTGTCGAGTCGGGTTCTAGAACCTCTTCGCAATCCTGGGGAGACGTGTTTTATCGATGTTCCATTGTCTAACGCGCGTCTATGTTATCGGAAACTGTAGGATCTTCTGCATTTGTCATTTTATTCGTGAAATCTGATACTTTCGAGCTGTCGTTCGTTTTTATCGAGTTATTGAACAATTTTTCCCGGAATTCTCTTGCCTCGTAAAAATGTGGGACATTAATTTGTATTGTTCTACTGTTGTTAAAATTACAATGGTTCATCAGAAAGTGTAGCCTTTTTTTATGTATTATTTATTTATTTTGTATGGATTATAACTGTCGTTAATTTTACAGAGCTTTGGATAAATTTTTACCGAGATTTCCGATCGTTTAAAATATTGTTGAATCTATAGATTTGTGATCTTAACTTTTTAATATTGTGCTGTCCTATCTAATTGACTTGATAAATTCGTTATATTCGCCGGACTGTTATTCACATTTTATAGCAATCGAACCTTTTCTTAATCAATTTATTTTTCTTTTGTAAAATTAGGATAGGCAATCAATACTATTTTATCTGTTTTTCCTTTCGTTTATTTTATCACTGAACATAATTTCACGATAAGCATAGAATTTACGTTTTAGTTAGTGTGTCCAAAGAAATTGTCGAATTGGGAAAACGAGAAAACTTTCAAATACTACTATGTGATATTAATTTCACAATCAAGTTAAATGCAGCAGAAGATTTTTCTTCAAGCTACCAGACCTCGTGAATCACCATTCAAATGGGACATTTATCGACGCTCGTAAATGTCGAACAAACGTCGATATAACTCTGCGAAATTAATTTGGCTGGGTATTGAAACGTTTTAAAAGATCGTAGTATCAGTGATATCGAGGCGGGAAGTAGTGGAAAAGTAGAACAGAAACATAATTTGGGGATAATTTCTCTAAACAATAGTAACACTGTCCAACAAAAGTTAACTCTTTTATTTTGGCGACCAAAAACAAAGTAACCAACTTTTCTTGATATTTTCTGACGGAAGAAAGTCAATTCCGTTGTCCGATAGAATTCAATTCTATTTTCATTCTTCAGTTTTCAAAATATATTAAACGATGTTAAACTTGTTGCATCAAAGAGGCATCTAGTTCTAAATAAATTCTTTAAAAATATTTACATGCTCCTAATATTATTAGAAAATATATCATCGTGTTCTGGAGAGCCTACAGAATCGTACCACATAAGGAATCATTTGAAGAACTACCAGAGATAAAGCAGAACAAATTCTGAATGTCGAAAATCGGATATTCCTTCCCTTTAAATTTCTCAGAAAATTATATTTTCAATTTGTGATCAGCGAACTAAAACTCAATTAATATGTTTCTGATTCTTTGCACTCGAGCGGTGACCCTGAGGCACCGCTAAAAATTGTTGGATCACGTTCCAAAATCATTTTTTCATCATATTTAAAAAAATTGTTAAAATTCTCATAAGATTCAATTTCATATTTATGAAATGCACAAAGTGTGTTGTATAAAGTAGAAATATTGCATGTTAGGAAGATTATTTTAAATTTCGAGATAATCTTTAAAGTAGTGAGGTGCAGCGAGACACGAAAGTATTCGAAGACTTTTTAAAACGAAATAACTTTTTTTAAAACTGAACTGAATGACTTGAATTCTTTTATAGATCATAGGAGAAACTGGTCTATTAGGCAATGACTAAAATGCTTTTCTTAATTTTGCTATTACTTGGAATGACACAAAGAGTAGTTGATGATTTTTAACTTTTTTTATCTGAACATGTAACGAAAATTTAAAAAATGTGTCAGTTGATCTCGGTAATTTGTATGCTCGTAGAAAGTTTAATCCAAATCGATTGACGTTGTTGTGAGTTACAAACAATTAAAGATCGCAAGATTCGCATTTTTGTCCCGATTTTTTACACATTCAACCAACAACTGTCGGAAATCTTCAGTTTTTGACATCTTTCAATTTTTGCAATTTGACCCTACGTTAATCGAATCCGACGAAATTTATCACATGCGTATAAGTTACCAAGATCTACAAAACGCATTTTTTAAATTTTCTTTATACGCTCAGATAAAAAAGTTAAAAAACGAGAGTTTCATCTTTTTTTTGTCATTCTAGCCAACTATAATTTATCTAAAAAAAATGTAGATCGCTTGGCCCAATTATAAAACAGATATTCCATTTTAAAAGCCGTTCGAATACTTTCGTATCTCACTGTACGTCAAATTAACACCTTACACAAGTGATAATTTACGGCAAAATGACTTAATATCATTAATGGTGACTTGAATTGAAATTGACCACGTATCAATAGTGGTGACTTGAAGTTAAATTGACTATATATCAATAATGGCAGAGCTGTGCTATTTCAATCATATAAATTAATTCAGTCAATTCAATTACTAATTATTTTAATCACGACTGCAATTGAAATACAAGGTAATTGAAATACAATGTATTTAAAAAGCAATATAATTGAAATACAATCTATTTAAAAAACAATATAATTTAGATACAATGTAATCGAAATGTAACGTATTTAAAATACAATGTATTTAAAATACAGTGTAATTGAAATACAGTTCTTCTAATTGCTACTAAAAACTTTCAACCAGTAACGTACTTTTGTATGTCTTTTAATTAGTTGATTTTTCAATTATTATTTGCAAATGTAATATTCATTTAACTTGTAATTTGCAATTTGCTGTTTAAAAGAGTTTTACATAAGAATAGCAGCAATAATATCTTTCTCTTTGAAATCTTCTCTATTATTTTTCAATTCCTAATTTTCACACAATTACATCTCGCAACTCGTGATTAATGTAACCGAACTACTTTGGAACTATAATCCCTTGAGCAATTTAATCGTAATTCCGCACACAGCTCTGAATAGCGATGACTTAAATTCAAACAGATTCTATATGAAAAGTGTTGACACGACGTCGAGTTGACTCCGCATCGATTAACGACGATACGACGTCAAATTGACTCTGTATCCGCCGGTGGTGTCACTTCCGATATGGAATCAGCTTGACGTTAAGTCACCATTATTGGACAGGAAGTCTATACACGACTACAAGTCACCATTATCGATATGCAGGCAATTTGACGTCAAGCCGCCATCATCGAGACGAAGTCCAATCCGACGTGTCACGTCACCGCTCGAACATCGAGACGCTTTCGAATGCAAAGGGTTCAAATAGTTCTCGAGTGCAAGGCGGTCGGGAACAATGCTGTCCGTGAAAAAAAAGGACCGATCCTGTGCGCGTATTTAGCGTCCAAGATGGCCGATCCACCGAGACATAACCCGGAGGGTGAATTTATTCCGGAAGAGCGACCCAATTCGCTCCCCCCGGCGTGTCCGAGGGAAAAGTTCTCTCACAGAGAAGCCTCGAGGAATTACAATAGATAGGCCGAGGGCCGATTAGGGAAAGTTCTGAAAAATATCCGACGAATCTATCCGGCACAAGAAATACCCGACGGAAACTTGGGGACGCGAGCGCGCGCGCGCACACAAGCCGGCTGTCCCACCCCGCAGCGTACCTTCAGCATCGTTGCTCGAGAATTCGAGGGGTGTCCCGTTTCACTGGTATATGCGAAAACGCCGCGGTACACACTGATAGTCGTTATTCCGGGACGATCGCCTTATATCTATCTCCCACCCGGCGACTATTCCGTTCCGGGCAAAAGCCCTCGTCCTCCTACTGCGTTCTCCCGGCACTCCACCCCCACCTGCGGTTTCCTCGGCTCCTTTTTTCCGTTTTTTTCTTTCCTTTCCGACTGGAGAACACGGCCGCAGATTGTCCACGTGCCGCTCTTTTTCTCTTGCCTCGCCTCGCCTCGGACTGCGAAACGACCCGGCGAGCTTCGACATCCGCAACGACTTCCGGTTCGGACAGGAACTTTCGAGATTTCGGCGGATTATATCAGCCCGGAGAGCCGCTAATCTGTTAAACGGAGAATTAAATTTCGTTCAACTCGTTTTACAACGGGCACTTTCTTCTTCGCATCGAGAAGTTATGCTGTCACGCGCGACCGTTCGAGTGTCGGGCTAATTCTTTTTCTTTTCGCGTGCGCTAAATGTTGACGTAAACGTTAAAGATTTTGTATTCTTTCGAGTGAGAACAGAAGACAAGTTTTTCATTTAACGATAAAACGTTATTCTTATTATGTTTTTATGATTCTTTGCCGCAACGGCACCCTCGGCGATCAAACACACTCGGCGAATAACGACGGCGTCGCGTCGGAATATCGACTTTCAGCATTGAAACGGTTACAGTAATAAAAAGTATCGTTTTTCACATGTTGATTATTTATTTATTTATTTTATTATTCATTTTGACAAAATATTTGATGACATCTTTAGAGAATATATGCATCAAATATTTCCAATATCCCTTGGTTGAATCGTTGTTAACACTAGATTTACGGAACCCGCCAAAATGACGGGTCAATAATTTTTTAATTTACGATTATTCATATCGTAAAGATACATTTATCAGTTATTTATTCAATTTATATGTTACTTATCGCAAATGTTACATATAACACTTGTTAAAAGTCAGGATAAATGTCTTATTGTTACTTTTATAAATTGATATGAAACAGCTGTTTTTTGTGCTCCGTAAATCTAGCGTTAAATATACATATGTACAGGGTGTCCCACAAAACAGTCGTCACGACTTTTTGAGCACTTCCGACAGTCTGATAAACGAATATTTCCAAGAAAATTTGCACAATTTTCGATCGTTTACAGATTGCAATATAATAAAAGTATAGAGGAAATGTTTTATTTGAAAAAATTAGGGTCACCTTCATTTTTTTAAATGATATGATATACTTTTTATTTCATATTATTTTAGCTGGTGTCATGACAAATTCAACGACCTGTTACACCATGATCTTCGGATGACCTTGAATTCGAAAAAAGAAATGAAATCAATATACTGACATGTTTCGTTGAAAATTGTTTCAGTTTTCACTGTACTCTTTGATTCGAAGCGTCGATCAGCTAAAATAGCATTACTTCATTTATCTTGTTATTTTTGACGTCAAGGTCATTCAAAGGTCATGGTACAACAGATTGTTGAATTTGTGTTGGCACAAGCTACAATAATATAAACTAAGAAATATACCATGCAATTTAAAAATAAATGTAGGTGACCTTCATTGTTTGAAATAAAATACTTTTTCCCAAACTTTATATTGCAATCTAAATCTGACAGAAAACTGATCAACTTCGATCAAGCTCGAAAAATCATGGCGACAGTTACATGGAACATCCTGTATATTCTGTTAGATGTTAATATAAAATATATATATAAAATCATATATAAAAATTATATATTAAACTCTGCTCGATCAAGTAGAGATTAGAGACAGAGATTTATGCCAGCAATTTTTATTGTTCCCGAGCACTTTGTTAAGGGATGCTGCGATCCAGGTCCTCGGAGTGATCGACGAATTTTTTGCACATCGTGCCCGCGAGACGGTCGAGACAGGTAGCCGAGTAAGAAATTAATTTGGCAAGAAGAGGAACGCGAGGAGAGAGGCGTGGCTGCCTCCGTTACGTTAGGAAGTGTCGTAATGATTAGGAGAGTTGGAACAAAGCTCGCCTGTTCGCCTCTCCGCATAGGTAATACGCCTTTTGTACGGCGCAGCGATCTTGCACCCGATGCAATCGTCCCGCCGGCGAAATAATTCCCTCGGCGCTAATGACGCCAGACCCTTTTTCTCGCTCGGCATTAAACACGTGTGAAATAGGGGAAGAGAAACGCCATTCTTTTCGGCAACACGAGCCTCGAATTGTATCCACCTTAACACTTTATCGTCCGGTCGTGGTTGAGGCTGCCACTCAGTAAGGACTGGCTTAGTCGCGCGCGCATTTGCTCCCAGTACCGGCTAAATTTTCGCTATTCATTGTGTTGTGCTTATTCCTTTAAAAATAATAATAAATAATAATAATTATTATAATTATAATTCATAAGGATATGGGGAGGTCAGCATACAGGAGGTCAGCTACTAACAACACAGTAAAGAAGCGAAAACCGTCGATAGCTAAAAGTCGATTAATAGGCTATCGGTCGATAAGCATCGGCAATCGAAAAGCCGATTGATAGGCTAGCGATCGATAAACATTGGCAATCGAAAAGCCGATAAATAGGCTAGCGGTCGATAAAGTGTTAACACTTTGACTGCCGCGTCACTTATACGTAGGTTACAGAATTATTAAAAAATTCATTTTCACGCTAATCCATTCTAGTTTCTCAATTCTATTGAGATTCGCGAGAGGAAAAAATGCTAAAAAACGTAACTAACGTCATATAAACTTCGCATTGCAATTTTAATTCAATTGAATGAAATACTTTAATTTTACGAAACTCTTGAGGTTTTTGGTGCGGCCGTCAAAGTGATAATGATGTGTAAAAATTTCTGAAAAAATGTGTTTCGAAGCACAATGCTTCGGGATTTATTATTGTGCCACGAATCCTCATGAAAAATAATATTTTCTTTCCAAACGTTTCGGGAAAGTTAACCCTGGGATAGGCGAGTCTAGAGATTAATTATTAGACTATAGATCGTTATGTGTGTAATCTGAGATATTATGAATCTGGAGATTAATTATTAAACTGGAGATCTTTATGCAAAATGAAACGTTCTTTCTAAAATCTTTTTAAAAAATTAACCCTGAACTACTGAGCCACGAGATGAATTATTAGGTCGAGATGAATTATTAGGTTACAATATTTCATATAAAATAAAATATTCTGTCTGAAATCTTTGCAAAAATCTAACTCTGGAACAACTAAGTCTGGAAATTAATTATTAGATTGTTGATTGTTATGTAAAATGAAATGTTTCATTTAAAAGATTTTGAAATATTAATTTTGACTCTTCACTGAATCTTGAGATNTGAAACCTTCACAAAATACTAACCCTGGAACAACTCAGTCTGAAAATTAATTATTAGACTGTAGATTGTCATGTAAAATGAAACATTTGACTTGAAAGATTTTGAAATATTAATTCTGACTCTTCACTGAATCTTGAGATTAATTATTAAACTGCAGATTTTGATGCAAAATGAAACGTTCTTTCTAAAATCTTTTTAAAAAGTTAACCCTGGAACTACTGAGCCACGAGATGAATTATTAGGTTACAATATTTCATATAAAATAAAATATTCTGTCTGAAATCTTTACAAAATACTAACCCTGGAACAACTCAGTCTGAAAATTAATTATTAGACTGTAGATTGTCATGTAAAATGAAACATTTGACTTGAAAGATTTTGAAATATTAATTCTGACTCTTCACTGAATCTTGAGATTAATGATTAAACTGCAGATTTTGGTGCAAAATGAAACGTTCTTTCTAAAATCTTTTTAAAAAAATTAACCCTGAACTACTGAGCCACGAGATGAATTATTCGGTTACAATATTTCATATAAAATAAAATATTCTGTCTGAAACCTTCACAAAATACTAATCCCGGAACAACTCAGTCTGAAAATTAATTATTAGACTGTAGATTGTCATGTAAAATGAAATGTTTGACTTAACAGATTTTGAAATATTAACTCTGGATCCACTGAATCTTGAGATTAATTATTAGACTGCAGATCTTTATGCAAAATGAAACGTTCTTTCTAAGATCTAAAAAACAAAATTAATCCTGAAATTACTGAGTTTCCACACGAAATATTGTACTGAAATATTTCATGCAAAATAAGATATTCTGTCTGAAATCTTTTCAAGCGATTAACCCTGGAACCACAGTGTTCCTCCACAGTATTAGACTATAGATTTTCATACAAAAGAGAATTTTGTTTTTAAAGAGCTTATAAGTCTGGCTGAAGGATTTGGCAAAGGGAAATTCTGGAAAATATTCGCGACCACGTTAAAAGATTTACGAAAACGAAATTAAATGGAGGGAGCTACCCCGCACATTGTCATATATTGTGCGGTATTTTCGTAAGGTTCCTGTTCCGAGGGGATGTCAGACACTAAGTGTTTTCAAAACATCGATGCCGAACGCGTGAGAGGGTCACGCGTAGCTGGTCACGTCCTCTTTCGATTCTTGACACATGCCGCGAAGTTTTGCCAGGGTCGGCTTTACCCAATAGGAACCTTGGAACCCTATAAAAAAATTTGCGTCATCGAAACAATTTTTCTTACAACAAGGTTAATTGAAATTAGAAAGAAGATATCGGTCCAATCGGGCGTTAATGCGGACAGATTCAAATATCTACCATGAAAGTTCAATGGAGGAGTGATAAAGCAAAATTGGATAGAAATTTTCAAGGATTTTTGCAATCGCTTTCTGTCGTTCTAATGTTATTAATTAAATTAAATGACGATACTGTAGCAATTAGAAATTTCTTATTTTTAAACGTAGAGTAATATCAACGATTACTTCTTTAAATTATCTATGAAATTGAGCAGAAAATATTTTTATTGCTTCATCGTAACCCTTATTTTTATGAAAATTAGTTCAGATCAGAGTTGAGCATTATTCGAATTCTTTCGAATATACATTTATCTGAAATAATTATCCGAATGAACTCGTTTCAGTCGAACATTTTGTTTGAATTATTTATTATTCGTCATCAATTATTCTGTCTATTTATCCGAATAAT